CAAAAAAATTCTCTGGGCAACTGAATGACCACAGGCATCACATTGTTCTTTGGTTATACAACCACTTTACTGTGGCCAGTAAAGAAAAGGCAGTTATTACAAGAATTGAGGAACTACTACAACTGTTACAACCGTTTTATATGTTATTTGTTGTGTTATGCAGTTCTGTTGAGCAGTATAAAATAACAAAATTTTGACAGAATTCACAATTTGACATTGTTTTTGTTCATCAGTGTTATTGTACTACAATACCCTCCATGTATTATGCAAGAAAATCATACAGTCATTGGGAATTACTGTGGTGTCAACCAATCCTGACTGCTAACTGTTGGCTTATAAATACAACCAAGCTACCATTAATGTCAAACACAATCATAAAAAATGCATAGATAGCCAGGTAGGTACCTTGCAATATTTAGCATTTACCTTGTTGTCCTCCTTCTCATCAGTCATTTTTATCATTTGAGTAATCCATTCTCTACATTGTAATGATGATTTGGGCACAGTTATCACAGTGAAACTGCTTAAATGGAGGCAGGCTATAGAAATCTGCCTCCATTTTGCCATCTAACAAAAATTCTTTGTAATCAAATATGCGTTCTGTAAAATCAAATATAATGTAATTTGTCACCGTAGTGATAAATACTGCCATCTTACCCAGCCCTAGGCTGAATACTGATGCTAAAAGCTGGTGTATTCTTACCTACATCACTTTCCTATTATAGCACCATGTAATTTGCAGTAGAGATAGCTAATGAAAGTATATCTAGTAATAAATGCACCAGCTAAGACACCAGGGCTGCATATAGACCACATTATCTATTCATTATTACCATTTGCACATCTGTGTCAGCCTCCTGATGAAAATGAATCTCCTGAGGGTAGGGGGTGGAAGAGCCAGTTCACTTTCTGAGTCTCTGTGCTTAATTAAAATGGGTCAACACACTGCCCACACATGCCTGCCTCTCAGTCCTGATGACCTTAAGGAAATGATTCAAGATCTTTCACTTTTTCACACATACTGGAGTCCTGAAAGAATGATGGGCTGGACAGTTTCAAGGGAAGTGATGTATCTTCTTGGTGCAAGAGGGCTTTACAATGAGTCAGCAATGTCTATGGTAATTCACTTCAAATTAGTGTCAGTGGTCAAGGCATAGGTGATCTCATCTGAGGATGAAGAATGTCACTGCCAGCTATTTAATCTTGGAGTACAGAAATATTTAAGAGGACAACAGAGACAGCTGATGGACCATGGCCAGTATATTTGAATTAGAATAAATGTAGTGTACACACAGACAGGTGATAAAGTCTGATTGTCTTATTAAGACAATAAAGTGTCTTAATAAGATTTCCAGCCACCACAGACTGCCAGGCCAGCTTCAGTGTGCCTTAGCTTGGATTCTGCCAGTCTCTAGAATTGTACTGGAGGGTTGCAGTGCCTTTCTTGTAAAATATATTCCCTCACTTGGTGTTGTGATGATGGGGCTGGAGAGCACTGTGTCCTATAGGTGTTCAGCTTGGCTCAGATCTAGTGACTGTGATGGCCATAGCTTCTGATTTACATATTTTTTTCCTATTCATCAAACCATTCAATGATGCCTCATGCCTTGTGGATGGGGGCATTGTCATTCTGGAAGTAAATGTTTCATCACATGATAAAGGTCATCAGCTGGGATATTTTTGTATTGATTTGCAGTGATGCTTCCCGCTAAGGGGACATGTGGTCCTAAATCCTGCCAGCAAAATGCCCACTCACCCACTTGTGGAAAATATGTTGAAGGATGACTTATCTGACCATATCACTTTTTTCCATATCTCTGTAGAGCAGTGCCTACGGTTTTTACACTAGTGAACTCTCAAATGTGCATTCTGCAATCTTACTATAATATTAGTCATGGACAGACTGCTCTTGCTGACCCAATCTATTCTTGTCCTGCATTGACATTCTCAGTCACCTGAGGAAGAGTTGCTCTTCTGTTTTTCCTAATATATCACTATTACAAGAGCATCATGGGAACTGCACATATGCTTTCGACCACAGTTTCCAGCCCTATTTACTGATGTCTTTCCCACAGATTTGAATGCAGTAGTTACTGCAGTCACTGTACATATTTAAATACTAGCCAGTAGAGCAGTCTTTGTGACTGAAGCTCCTGCCATTCGTGAGCCCTTGTTTTAAGTTACTTAGATCTTTTTTCCAAAATCGGGTCAGCTAGGCCTGCTCAGCATTTGTATACATTCCACAGAGCATGGTAAGATGTTAACTGTATAATGGTATCATGCAATACACCCGTCTGGAAGCACTCAGAAATGCTCCAAAATTGCTAAGAATAAAATCTTTTTACATTAACTTACATTAAAAGTAAAGTCTGTGAACAGCTTTGATATAGTAATTCCTTCATTTTACTCATCTGCAATTCTGATAATCTGCAATTATCAGACTAATCTGCAATTCTGAAATCTTATTAAAATGCAATCAGTTCACAAAGACAACAGTAAATCTTTCAGTTCCAGTTTACAAGGCCTTTGTACTCAAGATGGAAAACAGCATAATCAAATATAAAAATGAATGCATTGGAATTCGAGCCATTCTGAGGCCCAATCAACACCAACACTGAGACTGATTACTAAGTAATGCACTTTTTTGATTTTAACCTTTCTGGAGAGGAAAACACAGTCCCTCTCAGGTTTAACAGAAACCAAACCTCCATACCCCATGTTGGAACACTTTATTTCAACGTTTCCATGTTGGTATAAATGTGTGTGTCATTAGTCTCAACATATGCAATATTTCTACCAGATACTTGTTTTTTCTGTTTTTTTCTGGATTTTCCTGTGCATAGACTGTCTTGAATATCCAGCTGGGTCACAGTTCAGTTACTGGTTGGCTGCCATTTAACAAAACATGCATGTAATGAAATACATTTAACATATAGATACAAATACATACTCAAATATATTATACTCAAGTATATTACAATTGTTCAGAATTATCTGATTTGTGATGGGTTTATTTATTTATTGATTCATTTATTTATTTTTAACACTTATGACTAATTGATCTAACTAAATCTGTGTTAGTGCTAATGTTGCATCAAAAATGTGATGTCAGAGTTCTGTAGAGTGACACCATTTATTTCCTGAAGGGTGGCACTTTGCTGTGCTACACTCAGATGTGTGGCAGTAGTCCAGGCCATGTGAGTCTTGAGCAGCCTTTTGTGGTCTGCAGTACAACAAAAGACACACAGTACATTACATTAGAGTCTTACCTTCGCAAACCCACCAGCCACACATTTATCCTGCGGTAAACAAATGAATGACTTCATAAGGGCAGTGTAAGAAGTCTCTCTAGAGAGAACGTAATATTTATGTCTTGACACAGTGAGTAATCTCAAAGAAAAAAGTGAAGTAAAACCACCTGGACATTGTACATCATTTGTTTCAGATAAAAAGAGGCAATATGTACTTTCTTACAGGTGGCCATAATATCAGTACAAAATTAGATTCATTAAATTACAGAATATTATGAATAAATAATTAGACATGTGATTAAATAAATAGAGGCTTTTATATCATATTTCTTGGTCACAATATCCATTTTCCACATGAATGCGTAAGAGATGCTTTCCATTCTGTGATATTACAACAATATTTTTTTCTATACATTAAACTATAATCATTGTTTTTAATGATCAGCATCAGATGTGCCTTAATGAAACTCATAGTTGATATCTGTGTGAACACAGTAGCCAGAACAACCTGAAAACCCTTGTTTTTTGTGTGTTATTTCAGCCAAACACTACAAACTGGTTTGGTCTTCAGTTTTGAGTTTTTTGGTCTCTCCCTGTTCAAAGACACAGGAGTCTGGTCTTTTATGGCTGAAAATAACTGACTGGCGGCATTGCAGAGTGAACAGATATCCTATAAGGACAGACTTTCCTGTAAGGTATAGCTTAAAAATTGCTGCAGTGGACAACAGCATTATGAGACATAAAACAGAAAAGACTGCACATTCCACAATTTCTCAGATGGAATATAGAGTGACATGTAACACACATGAACTGGCAGGTTTATTTACTTAAGGGGGAATTAGGATGATTCCAAGAGCCCAAAAGAAAATTGGGCCCACAGCAATTGTACCTTTTTTTGCACATAATATTTAGGCTCACTAAAAAATTCTTATTTGAAACATAAAATTAAAGACTAATTTTAGATACAGTGATGCATCTTGGATTCTGTCACTCCTCCAGTGACCCCCTTCATGTAAACACTCAGTGATTTATCCCAGTTATGGTCTGTAAGAAGAACGAGACAATGAAGATGCCACCAAAAGCACAAATCAAAGCTGCGTTTAGCCTTGACCAAACAGAGCATAATGTTGATTTAAACTGAAACGGTGGTGCATTGAACGCACTGTTATGTTATGCAAGCATCGCATCTATGGCAGCTAAGAAGGGCGTTCTTGGTGTCGTTTTCAAAGAATTTTCAAAGCCTGATTTAAACTTTAATAAAATTCTTATGACAAACATCTTATATCGTATATATTATATTGTGTACACCAAGCTGCATGTGTAGAAGGCTTTATTTACAATCCATTGTATGTGGTGCCTTTTTAATACAGCAGGGTTTATATACATATATATATATATATATATATATATATATATATATATATATATCGCTGCTGATTGAGTAACCCTCTGACACCCATCAAACAAGAGAAAACGCACATCAAAGCCTGTTGCACACCGTTCCGACGAAACATGTCATTCAACCTAGAAACCGTAGCAAAATGATGCACAACGTTTTGAATGTGCACCAGGTGCACCAGGTTTACAAGAAATGTCAGGTAAAAGGAAGAACAACAAAAACCAGAAAGACACAGTGGCAAAAATGACTACCACCGCACCTGATCAGAATACATAAAACAATGTTAAATGTGACTTAACATGAATAACTATACTTCATATTAATGGATACAACATTAATTTGGAAAGATATTACTCTTCTTTTTGAGGCCTCTTTTTCTTGTTCTTTCTTGTTCTTTTCTTGTTTTTTTCTTTAGTACATCTAAAAAAGACAAAGATGAAAGATTCATTACATCTTTTACAGCAAAGACAAAAACACACCAGACTCTGTCTTCACTTATTACATATAAATGAAATCCTGTGAAAAATGGAATTTCATTACTTGTACTGGGTCCATTCACTCCAGGGGGAGTTACACAGGTCATCCTGTGCTCTCACACACACTGTCACCCCCTTTTTCAGTGGCCAGTGCTGATCCTGGATGAGGTTCACCTGAAGTTAAACAAGACATACATCATGACAATGAAAGCTTGTTTTAGAGTAGGAATGTGTGGACTCGCTGACATTTGGCAATGTATTGTTTGTGTTGAGAGCTAGAGTTAGCTAGTTGCTAGGTTTGTGCTCTACTAATATATTGTTTCCCTAATAGCGTCTGTAGGAAATGATGGCAAAACCTTTGATGATTTGCGGGTGGAGCAGTTGCAGTCACTTTTCCTCCCACAGCGGATCTCTTTCACTTGGAAGGTCAGACGAAAGTAGGAGATGGGGATGTTCCAGGTGTCTGGGTACTGCAGCTCCAGAGTATTATTCTTCCTTTTGACACGCACCATGTCCGGCCTCACTGTGGACAGAGACACATGGCTATGAGCAGAATCCTCTTTCATTCAAACTACTGTTCTGAAAATGCATCATTCTGCTGTATTACTGCCAACCAATTGGAGTTTTCCCTTTCATTTTTGTAGTTTTTGAAGTAAAAATCCTTTGAAATCAAAGGATACCAGAGTTTTACATTATATAGTAGTCCATTGATGTCTTTGTTCTTTATCTGAAGCATACAATTGATTTCTGGGGGCTTTTTTCTTTGTAGTTACACTTAAAATAGAAGACAATGGGCAGTTGCTTCCACTTCTTTTATACATATGTTTAAATTCTAGGATCTTTCTGTTGTTTTTCCAAAAAAAGTTGGAACAGTGTGCAAAATGTAAATAAAAACAGAATGCAATGATGTGCAGATCATGTAAACTCTGTATTTAATTAAAAATAGTATGAAGAGAACATTTCAGAAACTGAGAAATTTTATTGTTTTTTGAAAAAATATATGCCCATTTTGAATTTGATGCCAGCAACACGTTTCAAAAAAGTTGGCAAAGGGGCATGTTGACCACTCTGTGGGCGTTTGGGAACTGAGGAGAGCAATTAATGTAGTTCTGAAAATGAAATGTTTCCCTGTTCTTGCTTGATATAGGATTTCACCTGCTGAACAGTTTGAGGTCTTTTTTGTCATATTTTCCACTTCATAATGCATCAAATGCTTTCATTGGTGGCAGGTCTGGACAGCAGGCCGGTTTAGCAAAACCTGCATATGCCATTTAGCATTAATGGTGCCTTCACAGATGTGCAAGTCACCCATGCCATGTGCACTAATGCCCACCAATACCATCATGGATGCTGGCTTTTGAACTGTGTGCTGATAACGACCTTAATGGTCCCTCTTTAGCCCAAAGGATGCAGCTTCCATGATTTTCAAAAAGAATTTAAAATTTTCATTCATCAGACCACAGTTTACTTTTCCACTTCACCACAGTCTTATCTTATATTTTTCAACATTTGAAATATTGTCTTTGTACTATTTTCAATTCAATATAGGCGTTAAATGATTTACACATCATTGCATTCTATTTTTATCTACATTTTGCACAGCATCCCAACTTTCATGGAAACAGGACCATACTAAGCACAAGAAAGCACATCAAAGTTATTTGTCCAATGTGCTTGACCATATACTACATGTGTCACCAAACAAGATTAGATTGAAAAGTACTGGACTTTTTCCTTAATACTGAATTATTTAATTATTCAAAGCTAAGCCCTTTCCTTTAATCCTGCTATATATGAGACAAACCATTCGGAACGCTTGTTCTCAAAGTGTGTTTTGAATCATTACCTATGTCTGAAATTTGAAACCGTAGATAATAGGTTTCCACAACGTAGTTGCTTCGGAAATAAATGGTCAAATTGATGTGCTCCAGCTCCTCGGCATAGGGGCAGTATTCGTGGTCCTGACATGTAATGCTCTGTCCACTGGAGTTCAGGCTGCAGCTGACGTTTCCTCCACTGTAAGATCTGTAGTTAAATCATGGATTGACACTGTTTTCATAATGAATCAGAGGGTAAATGCAGTCTTCTCTAAAACCTACTGTCATTTAACATTCAGACAAAGTAATACACACTCAAATAGGATTAAAGATAGCATAAACAGGACAAAACGCAAGGAAGAATACAAAAGGAAACAATAGAAAAAGACTCAGAAATTGAGCCTTGAAGTGGTTATAAGATGGAATTTCTGAATCTCAGTCCTGGACACTTTGTTAAGGAGCTTAAGGTGTACTAAAGTAAGGAAAACAAAAACATGCAGAACAGAACAGATTATCTCACCGTACTGCTTTAATAAGTACAACTTTTCCAGCCCTTTTTTCATCCCAGGTCCAGGAGCACTGAAAAGAGCCACTGTAGTTGTTTGTTGAACAGTGGACATAACCTTGCCAACAAAAATTAAAATATAGCTTAATTGAATTCAGCTTTATTTCTATCTCAGTTCTTGAGAAAGCTCAGTTTTCTTGAGAATTCTAGCAAATGTTTTCAGTGCAACTGCAAATGATATTTTCATTGCTTTGTACTTCTACTTGCTCATTTGTGCAAAACAACTAAATGTTTTTAACTTTTATGCAATTACACAAGGTTTAAACCTATATTCAAATTTACCTTTCTCCGGTATCTCTTTAATAATCTTCTTGTAGGGCCACCGCACCAGTACCAGAGTGTGGTTGAGGTAGGAATCATCTGTGCTGTAACAGGTGTATCTACCTCCCCGCCTCTCCTCCACGGTCACAAGTATTCTGTTCCCTCGCTCCTGCAGCTTCTCTCCGCTCTCTCTCCTCCATATGATGTCCTGACCCTCAAAGGCCTCCCCACACATCAATGGAACCTGTACCTTGCTACCATATTTGGCCATATCCTCATCCACAACCAGCTCTGGCATTGAAGTAGGGGAGAAGAGTATGCATAAATGGGGCAAAAAAAGCTGAGAAATTCAAGACACAGTACTCTGGTAAGGCCTTCAAATTTGAAAGAATCGAACAATTTTTCTCCCTTTGCCTTTTTCACAAAAGAAAAATATGCTCAATTAAATCATTCGGAGTGATGGGAAATGCTGCATTCTCAAGAAAGAACTCAGATTTCTTTGCAGTGGTGGTGATAGGAACCAGGGGTCATGATGTCTATAACTTTACAAAATGACCAGTAAACCTGTATGTGTTATCTGAGGTTTTATATGCAATGTTTTTAATGATAAAACAATGATAAATCTGGAAAACTAATTCTTTGGGTACTATTTTGTCTTATAACGCCATGAATGGATTAAAAACAAAACAAAACAAATGTTCACGTAATCATTTTCTGTGAAAGAAGCTTTTGGAGACTCAATATTCTGGATGTTCCATTCTTATCATCATCGCTTCAAACAATTCTAATGCTGAAAATGTCTCTAAAACGGAGCATTTCACATAAAAAACACTATGAATGATGATTCTGATGATTAAATTATACCCTACAAATCTCCCCTATAGAAATAGGTTTTAAATATTTTTTTAAACTGCTCATCAGACATTTTAATTAATCATCTTTGCATGAAATTCGTTAGTTACTTTACTCGTTAAACCGACAAAACGTCTGATGTGTTTAGTATTTTTATGACAGCATTCTATCCCTTTCCACCACTGAAAATATAGACCAGTGTAGAATTAACCTTGGATTCAATAATAAAAATACTTCATACAAACCATTTGGTTTAAGAATCCAGTAACTTTCAGCCACTTTAATGGATCCCGTTGTGGTGTGTGGAAGGACGAACAGGACTTGAAGTACAAGTAAAATCATCTATTGAAACAAAGGCCAAGAATTTAAACACGTGACACACCTCAGACGTTGCTCGTCTTAGCTTTAACTCAAATAGGTCAAAATTAAGAAGGATGGGCCTGTTATCTATAAGCATAATTTTAATCTGATTCTCACTGTCTTCTACTCTCTCAGATCACAGAGGTGAAATTTGAAATGGAAAACTAAAAGATAAATGCAGTAATACTAGAGACTATGTAGACCTACCTTTAATGAATGTTCCAAGATCAAAGAGCTCAGCCAGCCTCTTTCATTCTGTTATGCATACAGGCCAGAGCTTTTTAAATGAAGTATGTCAGGAGGCCAGAAATTCCCCACCCATGAAAAGTACAGCTCAAACAGGTCAGAGGAACTAACATAGCTCCAGCACCACTGGAACCAAAGGATCCCAATATCATCATCTTTCTCACTTCCACCAGCACAACACTTCCCATAGCCCCAGGGGCTACCCCGCTTTCACATATTTGTCTGTTCACATAAACAAAAGAGCCTTTTTGTGATAGCATAATACGATGACTGAGCTTTTTATGACCCCTAGGTGTTTTTTTCTGGGTGTCCCAAAGCTCTTTCCAAATAAAAGAAAGAAAGAGAAAGGAATCTGGTCATGTATTTTGGCTATATCAGGAATGTTTGTTTTTAAGGTCTGGTGGTTATCTAGGTAAAGTGTCCTTCTTATAAACAGTAAGATGCTGTTTCACCAAGCAGTATTGCTTCCATGTTTTCATGCATACCTGTATTGCCCCTCCTCTTCAGGTTTTTCCACTGCAGTAACACCACATCTTATATGGGGAACTTCCCTTTTTCTCTTGGATTATGTAATCCAGTGTTTTATCTAGTGCTGGCCCGCCAATCATAATACAAACAATGAACCCACAAAGGAACTGCTGAGCTTAACATATGATAGCAGACACTTTGACATAATGAACTTCTGGTTTATGACACTTTGGGGCAAATAAAGCTCCTGTGTTTGTTGTGTAATGTACAGAATCTGACAAACAGCTTTCCACTGACTGACTTTCTAATAGTGATGAAATAAGCACTCAATCACTCAGAAGCAGACACTGTGCAGAGCTGAGAAAGCAAAAATGAAGGTTAAAAGTTGGGGTTCTGCTACTTTATTTAGTTTTTGACAGAAATACTAAAATAATAGTCGATTATTTTCGACTGTTGGGTGTTCATAATAAGAACACTTTGAATGGTATATTGCCACTGTTTAGACTTTAGGTTTGCCTTTGTGTTTGAATGAATGCCTAGCCAAACTGAAACTGCATTTGCGCAGTAGAGCAAAGTGCTCTGTCCTGAATGGGTTTGTAATTTCAGTCATGCACTCAGCATCGGATCTCTGGTGGAAATTATAATATTAATATATGAATGTAGTTGAAACTAGAATACAGACATTTCTAGTTGAATGTCATTGCTGTTTTGTGTTCAGACAACAAGATAATTATTGCATATGCTTTATTCATAGTAATATAACCACTGATGCCAACATTCAGTCCTATCTTTTCATGAGGCATGTGACAGACTTGAAGAGGAAGGAGGTCATGCTGATTTGGTCATTTCATATGCTTGGACTGGAATGCCAGCTGGAATATTGGCTGAGGAATTTTACATGTTGCTCTACATTATTGTCTGTAGAGTGAGGTAAGAGATGACAACAGCAACTTACCACACAAACACTCCAGACACACCACAACAATAACAGCGTTTGATTGTTAAGCCACATCTGAGGTCTGCCGCTTATTAAGAATGGAGAAGAATGACAGTCATTTAGTTTTTATTTCCCTTTCCATATTGATTTGTGCATCTTTGATTGAAAAACAAATGTGGACCTATAACACCAAAATTTATTCACAGCAAATATAGACTGTTCAGTATAAATCAATGTAAAACTTATAGAGCATATATATATAGAGCGCTGATCTATGGTCCATACCAGTGTTTCTCAACCCTGGTTCTGGAGGCCCACTTTCATGCAAGTTTAGAGCTTTCCCTGCTTTAACACATCCTCTTTAAGTCGATAATGAGCTGTGAACAAGCTGATTGGTTGGATAAGGAGGGTTGGGAGCAGGGAAAACGCTAAAAAGTGCAGGGCATTGGGCCTCCAGGACCAGAGCTGAGAAACACTGGTCTATCCTAAAGTGCAAGAATACTGAGTTAGGATCAGCACCTCAATTAATATGAATGCCTTGTAGGAAAGATAAAAAAAAATGTCCTAGCATTTCAGTTAGTATAAATGTTCACATTATGTCATTATGTAATCTTTAACAACTGCTTGCCTGAAAACACCATCATATCATTGTTGTATAAAAAAACATACAGAAGAAGGCAAAAACATTCTTATCTTTTAATGCAAGCTAAAGGCCAAGTCTACTATTCTCAAGATTTTCCTTAAACATCGTCTGGCAGAGAAAGAATAATGTTCGTCTTTTCTGTTGCGATTTTTAAAAATTTTCTCCGTCGTTTTCTCAGTTGAGTTGGGCAGGACTAAATTTGGCACGTGACATCAGATCTACCAAAGTATCAGTTGGAGTTAGCAATACGTACAGGTCAGCTACTCTCGTTCCTCTCCCATAAAGACATAAAGTCATGGCTGTCCTAAAGCTCTGTGTCCCAGCCAAAACTCAGAGCAAGCTGGTTATTTAAGCTTTTCTACATTTTTTTTATGACACTTGATATGTTAGTTTACTATTACACTAGCTACCACCCAACATCAAGGCTTACAATGTTACTCTCAAAATTGTAATTTACATGTGTGGCGCATATTAAGGCACTCAATTTTTCCCACAGTGTCAGCAAATATCACAGTGGCAACTCATTATGGGAGCTTCAGTTTCAGAACTCATAACGTGTGTGGCTTCAGTTTCAGAATCACGGTCCAGCAGTTAGCTAGCTAGCTATAGGTTACAGACATAATACTAGTGCTGGGCATTCAAATATTGGACACAATATGTCTGCAATATATATGTCATTAGATAAGTTCTTGAATATTAGCTGCTCAGTGTAGTTAGATCTCTAAATTGACCATCAGACAGCTTGTTCTCCATTTTGCACTTTTTACTGACCATTCAGAGACCGGCCGAACAGAGAGAAGTGGTCTTTTTTCCTGCGGGAGATGTTCTTGTTCTTCTTTCATCATTGCCATTACCATCGTTTCCTTTGCCAGGGAGATGCCACTGTTAATCATGAGATCTGACACACTCACACAGTCCTGAGCAGGCAAGCAGCTCAGAATTTTTGGAGCATTTATCTACTATTAAATTATATTCATTTATGTCTATATATTTCTTGAATACAACACTGGTAAGCACTTTTCTGTGGCATATCTTTATGATATTTATATGAATATATATTGTTTTATTGTTTCCTTCATTATGAAATTTTCACAAAATGTAAAGAACAGCTACTTTCATTCGTCATTCGTAAAATGATCTACAAAATAAATGTAAAAAAATATGGAAAAACAGTTTTTTTTGGACAGCACTGATATGTTGGTCCACAATATTCTTGCTCTGAGACAGTTTCGAACAGGTCTGCCCAAAGTGGGGCCTGTGGGCCAAGGACATCTGCCCAAAAAGTGGGTGGGGCCCACCAGAAAGGCAAGGTGTGTGTAAGGTAAATGTGGGTATTTTAAGAATGCGGTTTCTAGCTGGCCCCTGGCCCACCACAAACATTGCATTTAGGTTACCCAAGACACAAAGTTTGGACATGCCTTGGAAGTACAAACCATAGTCTCTATGTATTCTAGTTTGGGTCACTCAAGATTAAGAGCCAGAGGGTTAAGAGGGTGTTGCTTTCTTTCTGGGGTGTACATACAGTAGAGTAAGAGTCTTAGTTATAAGGAGTTTGAGATGTTTGCCAGGGCCTGAATTTAGACGTAAGAGGAGACCAAGAAAAAGAAGAATAAATAGGTGGAGAAGAAAGTTCCAAACAATGAGAACAATACATTTCCTATTGACCACTCTTGAAGCAGAGGCACTTGACAATGTAAGAGTGACTGTGAGGATTTAGCTTTCAAATTTGACAAAATTTTCTATACGTTTAGTGGCTCTGCACTCCTAAACAGTAAAGGTTCCAAAATGGTTCTTGGCTTGAAAATACATTTCTAGAAATACCTGAACATGTAAACATCCCATTTACAGAACTTGTACTTTAAAGAACCATCCAGTGAACCAATCTATGGTATCACTTGAAAAAAACACTTTTTGGCACCTTAATTTTTAAGAGTCTGGAGATAGTAGAGTAGTAAGAGTGCACATAAATAGACACAAAGAGTTTACACAGTTTGCTGAACTCCAAGAACTTCCACTCCTGAAAATGTGACACAGTGATGTCATGGTACAGTAGACCTGATCTTGCCTGGGTTTATGAGTGAAACTGTGATTCCACAGTGAGAGAGACATTTACAGGACCTTTACTCAGTTCCTAATTTGTTCTGTACCTTAGGGAAGAAAGTCATGTACTTGTTTGTCACTCACAGTAGACAAATTGTCAGTTTTTCTAATCTCTTTCACATCTGACTGTATGCCAGTTACCATACAAAAGGTTATCAGGGACATGGTGACATTTGACTTGTTAAAGGTTAAAAACACAAAAATACATTTTTATACTGGTTTAGAGTAAAACATTTCACTTCGAGGAACTATTCTTTTCCAGGAATTTACACCCAGCCCTTAAGCAGCCTGGTTTATTGTAGAATAAAAAGCTGTCATTAAATAAACTCATTTATTCCAAAATGTGGGAAAAAAAAGCAGCACTTAGAACAAAAACACAGGATCAAGTGATTTGAACTGTATGCCCATGTAACAGTACAGTCCTTAATTGAGTCACACAGGATCTGAAGAGTCCATCATGCACTGTTCTGATACATACATTTACATACATGAAAACAGCAGTATGATTATATCTCACAGCTAAACATAATAAAAAGCTATTAGAACACAGGTAAAACTTGACATGTCACTTTATACATCATGTTTGAAGGCATACATACAGTCCTGTGCAAAAGTCAGAGACCACCCTTTCATTTATTAAATTTCTAGTCAAAAAGGCGATTAAGCACACGTTATTATTTCGTCAGCTTCCAGAAATAAGCAGAAAACATGTATTTAAAGGAAAACACACAGAAGCCTCAACAATGAAATATAATATCCTTTTTTAGTATTTAGTGTGTACACTTTCTGCACTCTGCACTTTATTACAACTTCCATTCTTTTAGGGTCCATGTGTCAAACATGAGGCCTGCGGGCCTGACTGACAGTCCTATTTGGGCCGCAAAATGATTTGAATTTTCTGTTCTTAGTAGCCCGTTTCACCATGAGACGCACTACAGTCCCCAGCATGCATTGCAGCATAGTGTGCGTTCTGACCCCCTTCCCCCAACACCAATCTATGGGCCAGCAGTTACATAAAAAGAAAAGATGCCTGGTGTCTAGATCAAGCAAATGGGCAGTTTAAAAAAAAATACATGAAACAATTTAATTTTATAAAGTACATTAGAAATTCTGTTATAGAGGTCTTGGCCATTTTAGATGCATATGAGAAAGAAATGTTCAAGGTAGATTGGGTGAGTTTTAGTAGTTGCCTGTGTAAGTGTTAGTGTCTTTTTAAACAGAAACAATGGTTTTAGGATTGGAAGGATGGATGAATGGGCAAATTAAGTAGGGCGGCAGTAGGATGCACAAAAGTAAAGAGCAGACAAAAAGTAAGCAAATAAATAAACAAAAGAGTGACTCGCTCTTACACAGTATATTATATTATGTGCACTAAAAGTCTTATGCATGTAACATGTCTGACAATCTGAGTGCTTGTGAAAGCATCTCTATCTCCTGCCAAATAATGGTTGAAGACATTAGTTGCAGTTTGTCACTTCAGACATGAGAGGGCAGTAGAGTAAAAAGAGCCCTTAAAAATCATAATTCCTTTGGAAAGCAAAATGAAAATATTTATAACAGTGCAAAAAAGTCCTACACCTCTCTTTATCGTGAGGTCTGTGTCAATAAGAAAAAACTGGTCAGTTCTAGCTGACCTCTGGCACTAGGTGGTCTGGTGATGGCAGCGGGGGCTGGCTCATGATCACCTGGACCATGTAGTCTATAGGGATGCGTAGCTCCTCCAAAGTGCTCCTGTCGGCCAGTGGGCGGCCAGAGAAGAACCAGCGTTGGGCAGTAGTAGCCAGGCCCTCCTCCGCCTGTAGCCTGCGCTTCATGTGGCTCACGGAGTCAGTGCTATGTACGTCCAGATGCACATCCCGTCCTGTAGAAAGACGCAGGTGAAGCTGAACCTCCTGGCCTGTCTCAGCTGGGGCCTCTGAGAGGTCCGCGGTCTGTGGGAACTCAGGGTCACTGTTGGCTCGCTCCTCCGTCATGTTGACAGGTTGGGAGAGGCAGTAGACTGGCAGTTGGTAGCGATTGCCCAACTCATCATAGCACTCAGACAAGGTGCCTGACGAGGAAAGAATGACAGAGAGAGGTATCAAAATGTAATGACTAATATAAATATTTTTAGAGCTAAAAATTCTGAGTAAAGCAGTAATGTTGTCCGATATGAGTTAATATGAGCAAGAATGAGAGAGGCTCAAACAGTTAACGTTAAAACGTACTTTACTAAATGTTAAATATGATAATTTGTAATTGCCACATTTCTTTAATACACTCAAAATCTTGAATAATTCAAATTTTGTAGCATGGAGTTTTACGCTTTTTATGTTATCCATACATTTAAATTAGATGTGAAGACATTTTATATGTTTTTATCATTTTAACCATGATGGCACCCTCTATAACAGGGGAACCAACATTTTTAACTTGGGGCAGTCCAAGTGCAATGTTAAAACAATATATACAATATACAAATAAAAAAAGGTAGGTAGGTTTTAGAGTGTAAATATGAAGCAAATAAGGATTATGACCATTGATGGTAAAAATGTAGAAGTGGTGGACAGTGGTTTGCCTACTTGGATCAATTATTAACAACAAATGATCCAGCACTTAAGAAATACAAGGAAGAACAAGGATGCAGGAGCTTAAAGAGATTTTCAAATGTAATGACGTATCTATGAATGAAGATCAGAAATGTCCAGGCCGGTCTTCATGTATGAAAGCTGGACAATAAAAAGTGAGACAGGAAAAATATTAATGCTTTTGAACTTTTGGTGCTAGTGAAGAGTAACTTGGATGGCAAAGAAAACATAAAAATGGATCAATGACCAAATGAAGCCATTCCTCTTACTTGAAGCCATTATTTTGGACAACTCATTAGAGAAAGCAAGTTATGCTTGGAATGGCTGAAGGTAAAAGAGAAAGTGCATGGCCAGCAACACGATGGATGGATACAATCAGAAATAAAGCCTGAAGACCCAAACAAAAGACAGGATAAGCTCTATCTATACGGTCGCAAAGAATTCAGAATCACCTTGACAGCTCTTAATAAAAATAATTACATCTCATTGGGTGAGGTGATGGGTTAGAGTAACATTTTGGTGAGCTACATCTGCCAACTTTGTGCAGGTCTGCTCTATAAAGCCTAACATACAAACACAGACCCATTAAATGAGAAATGAACAAATAAGAGGTATCTGTTCCTTAGGATATAAAAAATCAGTAACTGGTTTAAAGGTAAAAGGTAAAAGCTTATATGCCACAAACATATCTTGATTGATCAATTACATCTGATATTTTCACTGTTTGATTTATGAAAATCAGTCTATTTCTTGCTGTAATTAAGACAAATGGTCTAACAAAAATGGAGTGCGTGAATATCTTGAGATCAAGTGTCTAAGTACACTGGTACTACTATAATTCTGGGAAGCCCATCCTCAGGAAGCTCCAGCACAGTTTGGTGATTTCTAATTCTAACACTCAAACACGTCTACTAAACCTGGTCATTATGAGCATTATGAGTATGAGCAGGGAAATCACCAAACTGTGCTGAAGTCTGACCCTCCATAACTAGTGTTGGATTCTCACGTTTTAACTGATGACAAATCCAAAAAGCTGATTACTGAAACTTCAACCAGTGTCACTTCACAGTTAACCGCAGTGCCTTTAACTGGCAATACCGAGAAAAGGGAAGAGCACAGTCAGACACGCTCAGCAGACATCTCACCATTCACTCTCCATTTCCCCCACTGAACTTTTAAAATGCCATGCATTTCTTTAAAAACTTTTCATATATAAAATTCTGGAATATCCCTTTAGAAAAACATTAAACCATCAGTGCTGTCGTTTCTGGGAAATCACAGGATGTGGGACGTCCACTAGATGGCAGTGCAGTATTTAAATGCAGTTATGTTTGTAGTCATAATCAATGATCATTGAAATGTTGTATTAATAGAAATGAGATATAAGACAGTGGGGTTCTTATTGAACACCTTTAGTTACTAATACTGCACTTCATTGCTAGATCTGTTCTCTATTGTTTCCTACTTTTCCTGCTTGTTTACTTTTAGTTTTACTCTCATTTTATTACGGTTTCATTATTAAGTTTCTTAGTGACATTGAGATTTGAAAAGGTGCTACATAAATAAACACTGTTATTATTGTTATTATTATTATTATCATTATTATTATTATTGTTGTTGTTGTTGTTGTTAAATGTACTGAGGCTGTCTTACTTTCAGATTTATATGTGGAAGGCCATCCATCTTTATTGTCAAAAAATCACTCATATAAGATGCAAGTTTCCAACACTCCAGAGTCTGTACATTAAATACCTACACATTCTATACAAAAATGTGGTAACCACAGAGTGGTGATGAAAATGTAGGCTGCTTAAGAGGAAAGTGCAGAGATGGTCAAGTTCCTCTTATGTGGGGAAGAACATTAATACTCAGACCCTTAGAAAAAGTCTCACTGTCGGGCTAGGCAAAATATAAGTTTAAAAACTTCTAAAAATTCTACCACGTCCTGTGTAAAAACAATTATTTTTATCTTCTTTTATCGATCTTGCAAGAGGGCAAAACCTTAGACAATTTATACCACTTCTACCACATCTAAATGTCTCTTTAGTGAAACCTCAAGGTATTTTAAATACTGATGACACCCATGATTTGCTGAGAAAAGCGTATCATGATGTGGTCATATGTACTTATAAGCATCCCATATTGCTTGATTAAACAGAATTTGACTTTATGTTTCAGACAATCAAAGACGATTCATACTGTGTTTTTTAGAGTAGAAAAATAATGAAATGATTTACACAGTGCCAACAGTGAATCCATAGGAAAAGCTATCCTGGCATTCAGAATCCAAGCCAGAAAAATTTAATTAAACCATGCATGCAACTAGGCAAGTCTGGCATTGTTCAGGATTCAATAAGGGAAGAGCAGAGCACCAGGAAATGCGGCGTTTTATTGTTTTTGTGGCACCGTAATGGTCAGATGGACCAATAGGTCCTGGATTAGCAAGAGGGAGTCAAAGCAACGCCTGTAAATCAGGGGCTCTAAGAGTCCCCTATAGATCAAACCCACTGTGGATACAGCATCTACACAATGTGGGAGTGTGTATGCTTGCTCCTGTTTGTCTGTGTGTGTGTGTGTGTGTGTGTGTGTGCGTGTGCATGTGTGTGTGTGTGTGTGTGCGTGTGTGTGTGTGTTTGTGTGTGTGTGTGTGTGTGTGTGTGTGTGTGATGGCTTTAACCACCCTCATACACATGGGGTCATACACATGTCCAATATGTTACCTATATGTATTAAGAATTTTCTGACTTTTTTCCTAAACCTGATCATGACCTAAACTCAGTAACTAAAAATAAATGTTTTGGCTCTTTTAGATTTAAAGAATGCATTATATAGCTTTAAAAAACGATCTGGTGTCGTAACTAGTAACATTTACTGACTTACAAGTAACATTTTGATGTATTTGTACTTTCCTGAGTATTTTCAAATCGTAATACTTTTACTTTTTACTTTTTTATTGGTGAGGAAGTGAATCTACTTTTTATAGGCTGATCTATCCCCTTCTGTTGAATTGTTTTTGGTCCTGACATTGTAGGTTACTTATGTTTTTTCTCCGTATTTCCTCTAGACACATCACTCTCAGTATGAAGACCTATCCAGTTATAAAAGAAACCAACAGCCTGTCCAGACTAACAGCTGCAGCAAGCTGGAACATGCAGACTACATCACAGTGTCCAGCCAAATATCTGTCAACTAGGTTCTTAGCTAAAGCAGCGCTTATCTAATGTGGCTAACTCATCTTGCTTGCTTGTGGAAATCATAATACATTTTCCTTCCATACAGTTGCACATTTCTGAGTAAAACATTGTTTTAAGGAGGGTCTCTGAGCTAGCTGAGCTTGATGGTAGCTGGGGGTTTTGGGAGAATAATTTAAACATGATGTTATTAGTTAGTACTATTTGTTTGACGTAATCAAAAATCAGAAGATGTCTTAGATTGAGGCAAACTTTTATGAAAGAGTAAAAGAAAACAAGGAAAACAAAAACTCTGTTTTATTTTTTAAATATTATATGATATGACAAATCATATAATATCATCAATATTACCAGGCACATGAATTAACAATCTTTATATCCTGGTCACACCACAACTTTATGTTTGTAGCAAGTGTCTATTTTAATCAGAATGCTGATTACATTACTACAGGAAATGATGGTGGATTTCTGCTGAAACATGCAGAACAGAAGCAAATGTAATCAATCCAAAATCAGAAAGGTCGGTGTGTGCTTCTCAAGGAGCTAAACAGAGAAAGGACAGAAGGAAAATGATACAGCTGCTCATTCATTATGCATATGTGTGTGTGAGAGAGGAGGACCTGGAGACAGCATGCAGGTTTAATGATCAAGCTCATCCTCAGAAACGCAGACAAGTCTTCCAAATATTAAGCATGCATGCAACACAAGCACTGTATTTACACTTGCCACTTATAGTGGTATGTGGTAGGGATGCAGGAATGGTATCAGAATCATATCAGTATTGGTAGAGATTTGTTTAAAAAAAAAATCAGAATTGGACAGATGTTTAGATTTCACTGATATTTCAAGCGGATATTTGATGATGTATTTGTTGCACTCCAGAAGAGCAGAGTGTTTAGGTGATGTGCATGTGCTAAATATCTGTTTTTTTTTTAATCATTTTACTGCATTTGTAACTCTGCAAAAATAAAACTTACATTTTTCTGTAATGCCAATTCAGGTAGTTGTTCTACGTGTCATAAATGTTTATGTCTGTATTGGCAGTAGCAGATGTTTACATGAATATACTGGATATCGGAATTTGGTGCAACCTGCAAGGCTCAGAGAAGTGCAGTGATTTCAGAATCAAATTAGCACTGGCCAGTAATTAAAAAAAGCTATCATGATCGGACTGATGACTAGATTTCAGCAATAATTCACTTACTAAAATTTTATGGAATTTATTGTACTCTGAGAAGAGCATGATGTTTAGACAACGCTGGGCTACCACATTAAAATGCATACATTTGTAACTCTCTACGATTAAATGTTACATTTCTCTGTAATGCTTATGTGTCTATACATGTGTCTGTCTCAGCATCAGCATTGGCATTGACAGATATGTACAAGAAAATAGTAGATAAAAATAGATATTGGCATCTGCCCAGCATTCCTATATGGGTGCATAGCTAAGAATCATGCATCTTCCTAACAGCTTTATTCCTTGTTACGTAAATCCTAAAATAAGTTTACAGCAGCCAATGGGAGACTGAAGTAAATGCTTGTCAGCTAAATTCACTCATCTCTAGTGCTATATCATGTGGCAATACTGACTTCTAGTTTTTGCAGATTTTAGCTTAGCTAATGTCAGTATATATATTTTTTTCTGGAGGCTTCAGATTGATTTAAAGAAAAAAAAAAAAGAACAGTTCAAAATACACAAAAGCAAAACCGACAGTAGGTCGAAGTTTACTTCCTGAAAATCAGATTTCCCTCCGATTAATGTTTACAATTCTGTAAAGTTCCCTTTGGTAATATTTTAAGAGAAGCAGAACGAAAGATTACAGTGAAATCAAAACAAGCAGTGTCAGCATAAAACGCAGAAAGCACTGGTTCATTAACTTTGTTAATGTAAACTTAAATAACATCAAATATTGTGATACTGTGCTATGCTTGGAAAACATTATGATATTGAAATTTATCAGTACTGCCCAGCACTATTAAGGGCTAATGTCTTCCAGCAGTTTGTCCTGCCTGTCCCGCCTCTCGGGGAGAGGAAAGGGAGAGAGTGTTCAGTTTCAGGGTAAAACAGCTAAATTTAGAAAACCGCTTTGCCAAAGCCCCAGTTCCCTTCTGATTGCTCTAAAACGACTCAGTGTGGAGCTTCCCTAAAAATCTGAATCTTTCTAGGGGAGCTTGTTTAACTCATTCTGAAAATCACCATGAAACGTCTATTTTTCCCTTCATCTGCCTTCAAGGAAGAGGGGTGAGAACGGCAGCAGGAGTGGAGCTGCGCTGATAAGACCCAACTAAACCTGGAGCACAGAAGCAGGAGATGCTTAATGCTAATTTGCTGTTTAAAATCCAGTTTACAGATGTCTTGATTAGGCCTTATGAACAGAACAGTGGAGAGTGACAGATCCCCTATCAGTCTCTGTGTGTGAGCAAGCCAGAAAGCGTGTTTATGCAAGGTGAGAGATTCTGCATCTGCAAAACAAACAAGCACTTTGTGCAGAGCACAGCTTTTGATGACAAAAAGAGTGTGATGCGTTGACAACAACAGAGAGATGCGTAGATAAGATAGTGATAAATTCTACCTGGTGTATTTCTGATAATAAAAAGAGACGCAAGAATGAGGGCTGCACAACATGAACAAAATATACTACTGTGATTATCATGATGAATATTGCATCTGCAATAGGATTTGCAATATGACAGAGCACATCTGAGCTTTTCATATTTATGTTGTGGTTACTGATACAGAATCCATAAATCCCTAGCATTCATGGATTCTGTACTATTCATTAAACACAAACCCACTAACATTAAAATAAATGTAAATATACATTAAAGTCCCAGAGAACCTAAATCTGTGTTTTCTTTCTAGGTATGTTATTGTGGGCAAACAATATACATGGACAAAATATGTCCTGTGAATGACTTTTGAATGTTTAATAACTGGCTTATTTATTTTGCCAATATCCTCCTCTCTTGATGTGAACTGGGCAGTCCTAATCTTGGGAAGTGCTCACGTAAGCAGTATCCTCACCAGTGGCATACGCAGAAATGCATTTTGGGTAGGCCTGTGAAATAGTAGGTAAGTCACTTTGACTTAGATACAACTTCGAAATGCGCTATGTCCCACACTGTCATTCCATCAGGCTGTAGCCTTTCTTAATAGGTGTGCAGTCATCACCAAAATACTGGATTTGCATAAACATAACCAGCATTGTAGCACCCTTTACTAAAAAGAATATTCTATGCATCCACTTGCCACAGTCATGTTTGCCCAATGAACATGATAAAACTAACATTAAGGCAAAGTCAGACAAAAGCAGGGAAAAACAACAGAGCAAACCCTAACGTAATCATCCTAGGCTAAAGCATAATGCCAAAGCGGGCAGACCAAAAAGTGACATGACTCAGACGTAATCAAAGGCAAAAATATATTGCCATGGCAGGCTCCATTCATGTCTTACCTTTGATTACCTGAAGCAACATTAGATTTCAACTTTTATAGAAAAACTAACAATGACAGAAAATATTTTTTCCAGCTTTAGATGGGAAGAAAATGACATACTTCGAACAGAATGGAACAGAATCTCACTTTTAAACACATTCGCATGCCGATAGCGAACTGGCTTGAGGCAATGGCAGGTAAAAATGGTGGCTCTACAGTGAGTGGAGGGTTGAGAAAATAAGGTGGAGCTTGGCAGAGAGCATACTAATTTGCTTGGCTATATAATATAGTGACAACATTCACAGAAAACAAATCAATTTGCATCCTAAAAAATTCAGCTTAATAAATACTGTCTCCCCATTAGTTTCTCAATCTGGGATCAATCTGGGTAGGCCTACCAATCACAAAGCTGATGTGGTTTGTCCCGCCGGCACAGCTTAAACAAAACTGTGTTCCCCAGCCCTCTCCTTCTGTATGTCACAGAAACTTACCATGAGACATTTAACTTAGGAAGCATAACTAGGCTCGCGAGAAAGTGCATTCTTCTGCTTGTTCTTTTTCCATGGATGTTTCAATAAATTTTAGCATCAAACAGACATTTTTAACATTGTACACTTTGTCCCCTGAGGTGATTTGTCAGGACACTTACAGAAGACTTGTTGATGCAGTATGTTATTTGTAGTTAGTCCAATTCTTGAGCTAATCAATACTTCATTAAGTTATAATTCATCAGGTTCAGTTTTTAAATGTGCAGTTGTTGGATAATGCATTCACTGAAGTGGATCAAGAAGAAGTTGAGCCAAACCATCCAATCAGATATCAGCAAGAATTCTTGTTATTTCACATTACATATATACTGCCCACATAAATAGTTTTAAACATTGTTCTCAGGTAACTGAAGATGTATGTATGGTATCCTTTGAGATATCACATTAAAGAAATCAATATTGCAAAAAAGACTGAAAAGTGAAAGTGATACATTGTGCAAACACACATCGACGTCACAGACACCAAAAGTAGGATTCGTGCCGGAGTACCATGAGGGAGAGTGATGCTGGCTCCATCGAGGATGGCCTGAGCCAGCTCATGTTCCTCACTCTCAAAAGCATGTGCCGCTGCTTTGAGCGCGTCCCAAATCTCTTTCCGGCCCTCAAAGGCAGGAGCCGTGTCCCAGAACTCGTCCCTCTTACTGCACAGCTGCTCTTCCGTCATCGGGTAGTCACTCTTCCATTTAGGTTTTTCCCTCCGCAGAGGTTGGTTCCTCCCCAAGGCCACTGCAGGACAGAGGCAGAAATGACACAGTGTGAACTAAATAACATAGCAGTGAGAATGCGCAGTACACTTCCACATGTAAGAAAATCAGAACTAATATCAGGTTGTGTCAGTGTCCCACGTCCCATATATATTTATATTTATTATACATCTTGTATCTACACTCCATCTAAGCTCCACTTACCCTATAGGTGTACTTTGTAGTTCTACAATCACAAACTGTAGTCCATCTATTCTCCTTTGTTAGCACCCTTTCATTCTGTTCTTTAATGGTCAGGACCCCCACAGGACCACCACAGAGCATTTATTATTTGGGTGGCGTATTAGTATGTGCTGCGCTGGTACAAGTGGATCATACACAGCAGTGCCGCTGAAGTTTTTAAACACGTCAGTGTCACTGCTGGTCTGAGAATAGTCCACCAAACAAAAATATCCAGCCAACAGTGTCCTCTGGGCAGTGTCCTCTGACCACTGATTAAGAAATACAGGATGACCAACACAAACTGTGCAACAACAGATCTATCTGACTTTACATGTACAAGATGGTACAGAATGATTCACCACCCAAATACTAAATGCTCTGTGGTGGTCCTGTGGGGTTGAAGAACAGGGTAAAAGGGGGCTAACAAAGTACGCAGAGAAACAAATGAACTACAGTCTGTAACAGTAGAACTACAAAGTGCACCTATATGGTAAGCAAACGCTGGTAAAATGGACAATAAAATTATTTATAAAAGTAGGTGTTCCTAATAAAGTGCTCTGTGATATGTATGTATATATAGTCTAAACTTTTAATTAGTACTGTACATTTACTCTGGCAGATCAAATTATATTTCAGAGGTCAGTTCAGAGATGCAGAGAGCACTGTAAAAATTCTATGTACACTAGTGATGCTCAGAAATGAAAATTCTTGCCTGAAAAAACTGAAATTCAGGCCACACTTGGCCCAAAACTGAAACTGAAGACCAGAAAAAAACAATAAAAGGAAAAAAGTTTACATAAAATTAACTTACTACATTTTTTTACATTATGTAGGAAACAGTATATCATAAAATACAATGTCCTTGATAACAGACAATAGCTGGTCATTCTACACAATGAATTCTAGTACTTTTTAGCTACTTTCCACTTCGGCATTGTTTTTTGTAAATGTTTTCAGTTGCTTCAAAAAACTGGCTACAGATGTCAGCAGTGTGCTAGCAGTGACTTTCCTCTCTTGTTGTTTTGCTGTGTTCTGCATATTGAACGTGTCATGTTTTCAAGTGGTATCGAACCTGTAGTGGAGAAGTTCTTGGGTGCTGTATACCCTTTCGATACTTAGAATGAACAGCAGAACAGTCCCTTGTGGAAAGCGCAAAATAGTTCCACACAGCTGACATTTTCACTGTTGGTCTGCTGCTGCTCAAACAGTTTGGAACGTATCTGAACTGACTACAGTTCTAGTTAATATTTCCAATTTCCAGTGCTACTGAAATTATTTAAAGTCTTAGATCGTTCAGAGAAAAATTTCAGAAGCCAACATTTTGGTGCACCCCTACTGTACACAAGTACACATATAAGTCATGTAAGGACTATTCATATTATGCATTAAAGGACAACAGGAATAAAAAGAACCATGTCTGCATGTATTCCAAAGGAGATGTAATACATAAATGAGTATCGGATTGCCTACCAGTGCACTTTGAAGCCATAATCATAAAACAGTGAATACAGATATACTGCCTACATGAATTATTCACTGTTGGAGCTCTGAAACCCTGAAAGGAGACAATAACTGCACTGAGCTTAATATCTAAGTGATGCTTGACTCTGTACAAACAAGCAAATGGAGAAACCACTTGCTTCATCTCAAGATTCAAGATTTAAGATTTAGGATTGGTTTATTGTCAAGTGTATTCAGAATCCAGGGCATGCTTGAATCCAGGGCAAAAATATAATGAACTACTACAGCAGCATTCTCCTATACATAAAAAAGTATAAATAGAAGTACACAGGGTCAATAGAGGAGAGGTTATTACACATACAAGAATGACATTGCACATACTATAGAAGAACACCAGATAACAAGTAACAATAAACGAAAAGGTGCCCACAGTACAAGTGACTGGCAGTCAGAAATGAGGTAGATGGCAGTAATAATATTGAACTCTGAATATACAGTGTAGGAAGGTGTGGTACTATGTGCAGAAATAACACAATGTAAGAGACAACATGTTGGGTAATAAGGTATACAGTAAACTGTTGAATAGTACACTGTAATGCTGAAATACATACAATTCACCAGAATATGGTTCAATATATACATTATGTGATATATACAATTTACTAGCTAGACTTCTCTACAAAATGTACTAGTGCAGTGGAAAAAGGTGCAAGATGCAAAATATACAATATAAATATAAAAGGAAGATCTGTCAAGGCAACTGAAGGGATTTTAAAAGGTGCTCATTGTGTTTACTAGCAAGAGTTAACCCCTTAAATAGCCAAGACCCACCAGCAGGCCCAAAGGTTTTTTTACACACCTACATAACCTAAGAACTGTTCAGCCAGATTGCAAGTCTCTGTAGTTACTAAATATTAAGGCTTAGTGTGTAATAGGCCTGGGATTTAAGGGGCTAGTCTGCTGTTTGTGAAGACAAGAATATTATATTAGTGATACTGGTGAAGTACATAAATTATCAGGCCTTTCTAGCAGTCAGAACTCAAAGCCACACATGAAGTGCTGACTGCTGCTATCCAATGCCAGTAAAAACAACACACAGTAGCTCTACAGGGTTCATAGGCACATTATGAGATAAAACAGGCAACTTGTAACTGCAACCCTGAGTTATTACAAGATAAAAAGCCTGCTGCTGGAGAGTTTACGTAGTAGCTTAAGTAAATCAACATATGCCTGTCAATTTGACATTTAAAAAGAAGAGTCTAAATATGGTTTATTCTATTCTGCAAAACAGTGCTTGATATGTGCTCTATTACACACATTCTTATTGGCACACACAGCTGGCCAACAGACAAGCCATAGGCCCAAGGGAGATTACACACTATTTAAGAAACATACTAGGCCTGTCACGATGATTCAATTGCAGCTGACGATTGGTTCCACCATAAAACCGTGATTAACAATTTAATTGTCATTTTGCATGCAAATATTAAAGTACATGCATAAAGTGGACAAATTGGCTGATCAGCTATCTTGATTTTTATACTAGGTAACATATAATTAGAACTCTGTAGAATCACATTAAATATCAGAAGTCAAATCTTGACCTCAAAATCGAAACCCACATTGAACCTGAAACTATTGTGTGCACAAATAAACAGATATTAAACCATGGCGACAGGGTTTATTAACAACAATGAAGAAACTACAGTCAGAGCTGTATTCTAAATATTTTACTGTACCTTACACAAATGCTCATCTACCTATTGTGGTTATTGCTCCTACACAAACAACCACATGAATTAAGAATCAGTGGAACGGCAATAAGCTTGTTCTGTGTAGATTTACATTTAACTGAGATTCAGTACTGCTACTGGACACCTTCTGCAGACTAGTTTACGTTTTTCATTAAACAAAACAGCTGTCACCATAAGAACTCTTCTCTTGCGATGCTAATCTCTTTGCACATGCACACATGGTACAAAGCATGAAGCAAGATCCAAAAGGCTCTTTTTAATTGGCACTGGGGATCAGAAGTCTTTTCTTATTCATGTAAATGTTCCAATGGTGTCTGGTGGCCTGGAGCAAAATGAACTACCATAAGAAGACAACGTAGATTTGATTTACTTGATGTAAAGTAGGCCTACATCTACATTGGTTTGACCTGTATAAAACAGTAAAATAGTGGTGAGAATCTCTAGGTATCTCACGACTTGATTTGATTTTAATTCAAGGAGCCTGCATTTTTATTTGATCTTCTTGTTATTTGTGTGTCTTACTGTATACAGTATAGCTCATAGTGTTTGTTTTTCCATAGAAATATGGAGTACTACTCCTGCATTTTTTTCTCTTCCAAGTTGAGCTGTGCCAACATATCCTGCTTTATAATGTTTCTCAGTGCACAAGAGTTTATTTTAAACAACAGTCATGATGTTTTGTGAATTGATTGACGCACAGGAAATATATGTCCATATATGTTTAACAAATATGTAAAAATGACACTAGCACATGTGTTTAATCTACATATTTGCATATACTTAAATATATTGCCATATAAATGCATACAATGCCATGTATTTAAATACAGTTCAATATATGTAGCACATATATTTAAAAAAATACACATATTGCATATATTGCATATATATTGCCCATGTATTTTTAATATGGGAAAATATATGCACATATAGTTTTCATCCATATGGGAGAATCTTTAAAGACTGTGATGCATTATTTCTCTCTCCTCTGTAAAACACTATAAACACAGTTGTTGTCAAAAAAAGTAGTTAATTTTATGGCAACGATTGAGTTATTGACTTATTTTTAATTGCTGGTGTGAATCTGATTTATATTTGAATCTAATATATTCAAAGCTCTGTACAAAAAACATATTTTTTCAATGAGACACCACTGATGCTACATAGAAGCTTCAGCTTCTCAGTCCCAAAGTAGGGCTGTAGACCTCAGTATGACATCATTGATAAAACTTCACCTAAATATTTTTTCTACGGCGGTTTTATTAACAATTCACATGTGATAAACATGCTGCAGTAGAACTCCTAGTGAAAAGAGACTGGAAACTTTCTCATGCAAACTCCACTAACGGTTTCAACGACAGCAACCCCGAAGCTGAACCGGTGATACACACACAAGTAGGGAAGCAGATCAGAGGCTTCCTCCTCACAGAGAAGTTCACCATCACACTGAATCTATCAGAATGAAATGATAATGAATGATATGTCGTATAACGTTAGGCTATCCAGAGTCTGAGACACACTGAACTCGAGTGAAACGCAGGCGAACAGACAGAGAAACGTAAGAAAGAGCGGGTCCCGTACCTCCGGTTCCGTCCGAGATTCCGTTCAGACTGGTCGCAGAGTCATGGTGGCTGCCCACACAGCCTCCCATGGAGAAGAGCACAACTCTTTCGCTTTCTGTTCTTCTCTCCCCGTCCACCCTCCCTCCTTGCCTCCCTTCACAACAAACTGACACACACGCAGTACGAGCAGCAGCTGGAAGGGGGGCGGTTATGGTTCCACTAGGGTATTACAATATCTTACGTACCAGATTTTATTAACGAGCACATTTTCTTAAATCTTGGGTTTTAGTTACGAAATATTATCTCTATAAAACAATGACATATAAATAACAGAAATTAACGTTTTCGCTTGTTCTTACATTTCAGATACGAGTTTACCACTGTGCATCTTCTTCATAGTTTGTTTCCCTCTTTAGAGAGACTTTCAACGGTGCTGTGTTTGCTTGATGTCTCCAGTAGAGGCCGCTGTTTGCTTAATAATTTCCACTCGTGCAGTTGCAGTTCTCTAAGTGACCACTTGGTGTCACTGTGCCAAAAGTTTTAATCCCATTGGTTTGTACCAACAGTCAGAAAGGCTTGTTGCACACGCACGATGTTTAGCCACTGTTTCTGATGAGTTCGTCTTCCCCGTTCGCTGAAAGGAGGAAACCGCAACAAGTGACAGATATTCCAGCAGCGCAATGCAAGATGCCACACAGTTCATTAAGTGAAATTCATACCAGATTTAAAACCCATTGAGATCTCGTGGAGCCATGCTGGGACGTGTGGAGAAGAAAAATCCAACCGCTGTGAACAGCCTGTGGACAACAATGTAGAATGTGTGGGAAGCAGTTTCTTTCAATCTTTTTAAACTTTAGGAAAGTATGTCAAACAGTGTGAGATTGTCTTCAAGACTAAATGACTTATAAAATGCTGATAAACACTATTGTTAAAAAGAGTTGCTCAAACATTGTCTTTCATAATCATCGCTGACACACCAAAAATTAAAGGCAAAATAGGAAATGCACACTAACTATCAGCATTCTGTAGGTCCTCTAGTCTTGAAGACGACCTCACACCACTTTGTCATAGGTTTTTCAGATTATTAAAAAGGACTGCTTCCCACACATTCTTCACTGTTGTCCACAGAGTTTTGGATTTATCTTCTCTACATATTTCCCAACATAGCCCCACAAGATCTCAATGGGCTTTAAATCATGCTTGAATTTCACTTAATAATTTGCATAGCATTTTTCAGTGTCTTGTTGGAAAATTAATAAAATTAGAATACAATTGTGTCATTTGTTGCGTCATGCATACATTTTATATGAAATCACAGGGTCCTTGCTATTGTTCTTTTAAATGTGTCATAAAAAGCATTATCTTTTATATTATGCTCAAGATGGGATTGCATTGAGAAATTTATTTTCATCTGCTCTTCATACTGATTAATCCTTGTATATTCTCACTTTATGTCTATTAGCAGCCTCATCAGTGAACAGCTGAGTGAATGGAGTCTTGGGGTGGATTGTGTTGCAGAGGCAGCAGACCAAAAGCTGGGATGAAGTCATCATGGTGATCTCACCACTTGCAGAATGTGAAAGAAAATCTCAATTGACTGAACTAGACCTTGGTCTGATTCGCAACACCTGTTGTATCTTTCTATACAGATTATATGCATGTGTGTGGTTGGGGGGGTTCATGCTTCCTTGCTTAATTGCGTGTGTGTAAACCAGGTTTGCAGCACGTGTAAAAGACATGAAGATAGGAACATTTCATGATCTTACTATAGCATGTCAGAAAAAAGGCATTGCAGCACTAACCACAGTCTTAATGAAATCATCCAAGAACAATGAGCATGTTATTGTAATGACATAAGGTGTCAGTCAGTGCAGCTAAGAAAACATGTGCATTGTATGGCAAGCTTCAGTGCTCTGTCCACTAATTGGAGTCATGAGGGAGGCAGAGAGGAATGGAATTGGAGAAGACAATACAAAGCGAGGGAGAAATGGCACAGCTGCTGAATTTGAGCTGAATGCCAGAGAACGACCTGCAGTCTGCCTCCTCAAGTGCAATGTTTAGACAAGACCACTGTTGAGGGGCTTTTCTGAAGAAGACCCCTTCAAGGAATGACAGCGTGTTTGAAGGCTCACACCTTCTCCTCCTTGAACACTGTCTTACCTAATGTGTTGCTAGCAATACATTTAGAGACTTTAACACCCCTACTAATTATTGAGTTTATCAGTTTCAGCCACACCCATTGCGAACAGGAGTATAAAATCAAGCACATAGCCATGCAATCTCCATAGACAAACAATGGCAGCAGAATGGACTGTACTGAAGAGCTCAGTGACATTAATCATAGCACTGTCATAGGATGCCACCTTTACCAGAAGTTTGTTAATGAAATTCTGCCCTGCTAGATCTGCGTCGATCAACTTTAAGTGATATTATTGTGAAATGGAAGCATCTACATGCAACAACAGCTCAGCCACAAAGCAGTAGACCATGCCCATCATGGTCCATGCCCATCAGTTACTGCAGAGTTCCAAACTGCCTCTTGAAGCAATATCAACCCAAGAACTGTACGTCAATAGCAGTATGTCATGGGTTTTCATGGCCAAACAACACCTGCACACAAGCCTAAGATGACTATATGCAATACCAAGCATCAGCTGGAGTGATGGAGCGGTGGAAACATGTTCTCTGGGGTGATGAATCACACTTCACTATCTGGCAGTCCGGTAGACAAGTCTAGGTTTGGCGAATGACAGGAGAACCCCACCGACCAGAATGCATAGTGCCAACAGTAAAGCTTGGTGGATAAGGGGATGATGGTCTGAGGCTGTTTTTCATGGTTTGGGCCCCAGTAAAGGGCAATGTTAAAGTTATTATTTTATGTTTCCAACTTTGTGGCAACAGTTTGGGAAATGCCCTTTCCTGTTCTAGCACAACTGTGCCGTAATGTGCCGTAAAGACATGGTTTAATGAGTTTGGTGTGGAGGAACTACAGTGGTCTGCACAGAGCCCTTAATTCAACCCCACTAAACACCTTTAGGAAGAACTGGACCATCAATTGCGAGCCAGGCCGTCTCATTCAACATCAGTGCCTGACCATACAAATGCTCTTTTGACTGAATAGGCACAAATTCCCACAGACACACTCCAAAATCCTGTAGAAAGCCTTAGCATAAGAGTGGAGGCAAGAGTGTCCCAATTCAGTGGCTGCATCCTTCAGAGGCTGCATCTGAAGGCTGATTGGGTCAAAGCAGCATGACTAGGCTGTTCCATTTCGAAGTCTTCTTCATATGCGGCCAAGAAACATGTCCATCTTTTCCATGGCAGCAAAAGATCCAACAGATGGATCCTTCACCAGCCAACATATCCTGAGGTTAATTGCGTGCCGGCAAGGATTCAAGAACATGGTTGCGTCAGCAGAGGAGCGAACAGCGGCCGAGGAGTACACTTTTAAATGTAAGTATTGGGTTTAAACTGAGTTGAATAGCTAACGATACAAATGTTAAAAAAAAAAAAGCCAATGTGGTCTGGAGCAAAACTTATGCTGAGGTTTTGTTAAGGATTCTTCAGGTGTTTTAGAGAGCAAGGAGCAGATTTTATTTTATTTTATTTATTTTTATTATTTACCTGATGATGAACCTCTCTCATCAGTCTAAGATACATCCCAGCAGTGAAGCATCTCCAGCTCTAATAAATGAAAATATAAAAATACAAATATCATAAAAGAACTTGACAGGAGCGGCATTTTGTGATGCAATGGTAAGGGCAAGAACAGCAGTGCTGTGACACAAACAGGAAATCCACCGTAGGGCAGACCATCTCATTTCGGTTCACGCCTTTGTAGACCGCATCCTTCAAAGGATGCAGCCCCTGAATTGGAACACGGATAAAGAGAGGCAGCTCCATATTAATGTCCATAGTTTTGTAATGGGATGTCCAACAAGCTCATGTGATGGTCAATTGTCCACATACGTTTGGCCATACACTTTACACGTCCATGTTCTGTAGAGTAAAATGTACCTTACGTGTGGAATTGGAGCTGCCTGAGCTGATATACATCTTGCATTAATATGTGTTTCGGATCATTTCGGATAATGTGTTTTCAGTGTCCATATACAATTATGTGAATGGAAATACGTCTGCCTGACTAGCAGCTGAGAGATTAAACAAGGAAATGAAAGATGGAGGATACGCAAGGTCAAAGGAAGTGTCCGGGCCAAGATAGGCACTTGTAATGGGGAAAAGTGTAAATAAAAGTAAAATGGAAATGATTTATGTGCTGATGCACTTTTTACATGGGAAAAGCGCAACTGAATCTCACCTGCTCACACTGGGGGCACGTTTTAGTAAAACATGTAAATGGAATCCGGCCAAAGTTTATCCAGATACAATCCTGATATGACTCACATGTTAATGCAAGGTGAAAACAGGCTGTGCTGCTGTTTTCTATCACTGTGACGCAGCATGAAACTGCAATCCTCCAACAGTCATTATTGTTCATGAAAACCATAACTATTGTTAATAAAACTGTTAAATGTAGTCAATATACAGTTACGTGCAAAAGTTAGGGTGCTCCTAGTCAAATTACATGTTTTGTGAATGTTTTAAGCAGAAACAAGTTCATTTCCTCAATGAGGAACAATCTTTTGTACATTTAATAAACAATTACTTATTTGCTAAAATTAACATAATGGGGAACATATACTAAACAAATTTTCACATCAAAAATGAACAAAACATGTAATTTGTCAGGTTCAGACTTTTGCATATGACAATATGTATCTTAGATTTATCATTTTGATAATAGTGTAAGATGTAATGCTATGCTATGGCATTTTTTTACTTGTTTTTATCCAAGTAAAAAGTATCTAGTAATTTTATCCAGAGAAATGTACACTGAAACAGTTTTATTTGTTTCAAGCATAATTTGTAAAACACAAACTAAAGATAAATAAAACAAATTACAGAGAAAAAATGCTTCGTTTTTTAAGTAATAAAGAAAGGTCTAGAAGCGGATTCCTTGTATATCAACCCTTAAATACTAAGGAGATGGAAATGCCTTTGAGAAAAGCTTGCAACCTGAGTACATTGTGCTATTTTAACAGAAAAAAAAATATAGTCCAAGCTTGAAATACTAGAAATTCTAAAACCC